TTGATCGATCTGGTAGGTAAAAGAGCAAATGACTCTATACATCAAGATAGCAATTAATTAATTATAACATAATTTAGAAAAAGAGTGCTGTGCTTTCGACGAAAAGTGGGCGTCAAAGTGCTACTCAGAGAGAAACAGCGTCACTCAGGGAACGGGGCGGGCTTCCACGCGCACGCGCTCCCGACAGCCGCCGTGACGCAACCGTCCCCGTTGCGTCCTTTAGCGCGTACGTGCAAAGAACGCGTAATATTCTGGGGGGTATTGCTTTCAAAGCGGCCTTTATTTCATCCAGATTCGCAGAGCACGCGCAAACGCGTGCTCGCTGTGCGTGGCCGTGCGTGGCCGTGCGTGGCCGTGCGTGGCCACGTGTGGCGGAATACGGCAGAAGAGAAAGGGGACAATGCCAGAAAGGGGAGGTAGAGTGCAGGATGAGGCGACGGGTAGTAGTTATAGAAGCAGAGGATTTGACGAAGCGAGAGGTAATCTAGGGAGTTGTATTTGATTTTAATTGATTTATTTACCGCCAAAAAATAATTGAAAACTGTGAATCACAAACTATTGGGGAGACGTATTATCTGCGCACGTCATCTTGAGTTTCACAAGCCCTACCCACCCTTTTTCTAAACAATTAGAAACTATAAATTTTCGATCCCGAGTTTAAGAAAACTTGTCTATATCGGTGAATGAACTACAAATTTGATCGTTCCTAGCCCTATTTCTATCGCAACTAGCCAAAGAGCTAAAAAAACGTGCGCGTGGTGAAGTTACATTTATTTACAGAAGTAAAAGAAAGGGACCTTGTGATCAAGGTAAACTGGACGAAAAATATTGACCGACAGTTATTGATCTTGAAGATGAAGCTTGTTCAGCTAAAGGAAAACTGTAAATATGAAGTGGGCCTCTAGAAAGTATAAGCGGTCCCTAAGGAAAGTATTAGCGGACATCCCGTAAGGGATGCAATAGAGAACGAAAGAGTATTTGTTGTTTCCGGACACGTCAACTCAGTAGGTGATTTAAATGTAGTGCAAGTTATAACGCATAAGTTGGTAGGGTTCCTCTCCCTTTAGAACTTATTTCGACGCGAAACTAATCTTGCAGGATTGCCTTCTTTACGTATCTACCTCAGCGGGGCACTGTCCAAGCCTGTACAAGATCTAACGAAAAACTTACAATTGGTCTTATATGTCATGAAAGTGTGTGTTGTCAGGGTAGAGGAGTGTACGGGTAGAGAAGGGGACAAAGATGTGGAAGAAAAAGAGAGAATGCTGTGGCCGGCCATCGCGTAATATTAATAGAAAAAATACGTCAAACTATTGATCCGAGCAGTCGGCCGCTAGAATCCTCGCTGGGACTGCGGTAGAATTCGATCTAGCCAGGAACGGTAGAATTCGACCTAGGAGAATCCCGGATTCCACCACCGTCTGGACTCGAACCGTAGGTCCTCCCAGTCAAGAACCCAGCAGAGGCGACTGGCAATGAAAGGGACATAATTATATGAACGGAAAAGCAAATCAAGTTAAGGAGAAACAGGAATGATGTTGGGTGCCCGAGCTACTGCCGTACTCGGTCCACATCGGAGAGCAGCACTCTTCGGCCACATATGGAGAAACAGGAATGATGTTGGGTGCTGCCGTAGGCGGTCCACATGGGAAAGCAGCCCTCTTCGGCCACATATGGCGTCCGCCGGGTCACCGGATGGCTTCAGGGCCGCGTGACGACGCAGGGCGACGCGTCGCGCAGCGTGTCCGGACGCGTGTCCGCACGCGCGAGTGGGGCGCGCCTGTGAGTGCGCGGGCGTGAGCGCACGTGCGCCACCGCCGGCGGAGGGACGTGACCGCCTCCATCACGCGTCTCCACAAACACTCGACTTCGCCCGATCGTAAAACTGCCCGCCAGGTCTCGCGGCGCTGTGTCAGCGCGGGCGCCCGGCCCACGCGCCCCGATGCGCGGCCGCCGGCGCGACGCCGGCTGGGCAAACTGTAAATCCCGCGCGGCGATTGTCATGGTCACGCGTGCGCCCGCCGGTGCCGTGACTCGCTCGATAGGTCTTCTTCTAAACAGACCGCGCCCGTGCGTGCGAACAGCTGCCAACAAGCGATTGCTTGCGCAACCGAAGAGACGCAGCTCTCGGCGGAGGTGAGGTAGTCCTTCGATAGATTATTTGCTTTGGATCCCGGAAGGAAATATGGGCCGAACATCACGAATGTGTTGATTCCACTAGACAATAGCCATTTTGTTATAGGCAAACCAATACGTTCGTCTGCATTTTCAGTGCACTGATTCAAAATATGAAAACGTAAATTTCCTCACACGTCCCGACTGCATGCTACATTTCTAAGTAACTTATTTTAATATATCTTTACTATTACTGCTTGTCAACATATTTGCATTGTTTTTGTCTTTAATTTTATAGTAGTTGGGCTAAACTACTCTGAGATAATATGATTTTCGGTACCTGAATAAAGACGCTTCCTATTCATACAATTGCGTCTCTAACTTAAGCTTTTGCTTCTATAATCTTTACATCCGCGGGAGTGCAGTTGGTTGAAATGTATATGCATTAGATAATTTCAAATGTGTTCGTCGAAAATCATAGATGTATTATTTTTACGTTCGTTTTAAAAATGACAGATTTTGTTGTTTTTGTAATTCTTCATTTACATTGAAGTACAAAGCCAGAAGTGAGATCTTTGCGTGCGTATTAGCGATTATGACTGCAGATTTCTTTTCACCGCTTCACAAATGTACAGGGGTGTGGCTAAAACCGTCAACTTTCCCATAAACAATATCCACTTTGCATGCGGTTAACTGTTCATTGACCAACAAATCTCGGATATCAACGGACGTGTCCGCGAATCTAGGAGATGGCAGTGTTCCTCCCTCCCAAGGAAACGTGAGATCCGGCGCCAACGTACACGTCGCGGAATCAACGCGACGGCCAACGCGGCGATGTATCAGTTGGTCTGAACGCCGGAGCCTGTGCGCCCAGCATCCAATCGGTTCCCGTGAGCAACTTCCCATATGTCATTCAACGTAGTTTTCATTCTCAGGCTCCTCGTATTCTTCCAAACCGAACCACCGCGACGATATTTTCTCCCTCTGGCATTATTCACGTGCAGTCGCGTAGTGAAGCCCGGACAACGCGTGTCTGCCTGGGTACTAAAGCCGCTTAATTAGGCCGTTTGCTTTTTACGGTCAGTTTGCGTTCTTGAATGCCGAAGCGCCGCATTGTTGCGGGCTCCGCCGTCGCGTCTCGTCGCCGCGCCTGCGGAAACCAGCGAACCCGCCTGCCTCTCCCTCGGCGTGGCCCGCGTCCCGGAACGAAGCGTGGGCGCCGCCGGGCGGAGCGAGGCGAAAGCTCCCGCGTGCATCCCCGAATTCCAACCACCCGGCGCCAGCCATCCCGCTGGCATCTGGCGGCTGCGGCGGCAACTGCGCGAGATCCCGGTCCACCCCGCCGCGGCGCCACCCTCGCGCCGGCGCGCCCTCCGCACGTTTGAAGCCCGAAAGCCTTCCGACACCTCGCGGCGCGGCGCTGCTGCGAGCTGTAGTTAACCCTGGGGAACGTGGCTGGATTTGGACGTGTGATTTGCGGAGTGCGGGTCACGGACTTGCAGTAATCTAATGTAATAATAATATTGGATGATTTGACGGTACTTCACGTAAGGCGGTAATTTAGTGAATAAGTCAGGAACAACACGCTTATTCAATTTACACCGTATTTATTATAATAATTGTGTTTACTTAACTCATGTCCTATATACGAGTATGTACCGGGTGAGTTTAGCTTAGAGCCAGCACTAGCGCACTTTCTGCAGCGACTCTAGGTCTTAGGGTTCGCATGGTCTTAGGGTTCGAGTCCCGACGGTGGAGAATTGTCGGCATAACTAGCTATTTGCTAGGTCGAATTCAGCTGCTGTCCGGAGGAGAGTTCTAGCTTCCGGCTTCCCTGATCGGTAGTTTTCCGTGGATTCTCCGATGCCGGACAGTACCTTAACAAACGGGCCACGAACAACGCGCGATCTTTCTTTCCTCTTCCTTTTCCTATCTTCTCCCGTTACACATGCTATCACACATGTCGGGAGACCAGCCGGACGGCTAGAGCTTGTCCCGTCTGAGGCAGTGCCTCGCTGGGGGAGACACTTGGTGGGGAATATCCCCGCAAGCCGACGTGAAGACCAAATCTCCCATCCTGCCGGGGAGGAACTCTGCCATCTCCTGGCATAAAACTTTTACCACACTAAAGGGACTAATGATTCATTCAATCAATTCCTATGTACTAAAGTTTTGAAAATCAGGACCCCTGTGAACCCTTTGAATTGCCAATGGTTTCTTGTCCATGCTGTAAGTGTTTTGTAGAGGAACTGATGATGATGACAAGAACCGAAAGGAGTCTTACATCTGTATTCCTTCTCCTTTCCTGCGCAAAGGAACACAGTGGAAGTTTCCCATGGTTTCAACCTCCTCTGGATGGTAGGAGCGATTACTAAAAGTCAATGATTATGGATGGTAATGCGGTTGAGTCGTGCATCGTGGCGGTATGAGAAGCAAGACACCCCACAACCACGTGGTGAAAATACCCATGGCTTACGCGAGATTCCGAATCCGCAGCTTTGGGCTTAAGTGTAGTGAACATCTCTCCACAACACTCCACATCCCTGCGCCACCGAAGGAAGCGGAGTGGAGTTGCCTTCTCCGTATATAGGCTGGCCACCGAATTGCCTAATACACGAGAGGCTTCCGCGCCCGAGTCAGTATCTACTCTGCTATCCGAGAGACACCGCGTCCTAAGCACAAGTGCCAACGTTTCGGCCGCCATTCTGCGACCTCCTCCAGGACGAACTGCGCATATCTATATAAAATGTATTAACACGTTCCTAAGCGTTGACATTGCCGTACTCGTTACGTTGCCTTCTCTTGCAAATTCCCTGTGAACTGAATACTTTCGAGTCAGTATGCACAATTACGAGAGTATGTCCAAATCGTTCGGATTATTGTTAATGGCTGATTACCAAACAATTGCCTTGAAAATAGCAGAAGAAACTGGAAATGTTGAACAGATTGGGGTGATGATGACTGGATTGAAGTTAGTTTTACGGACATCTCGGTTAACCTTTAGAGCACAAAAATTATCGAGTAGCAACCAGATTGTATTCTGTTGTACGTACACAAGCTATAACTTTAACTAATAAAACCTTTTTAGAATACCTTATAATAAAAATGTCTCTAAATAAATAAATCTTTAAAAAAATATCTGGTTTTCCTTAAATCATTGACAGCAAAATTAAAGACAGGAAATTGCAGACGTTACATTACAGCTCCACGCTTTTATCTATGAAAACAATATACCACTAACCCAATAAGAAGCACGTGAAAGTAATCAGAACTGTCGGTCTTCAGTGAAATGCAGTGGAATGCCAAAGCAGGATTTCGTGAGAAGCGAGAGAACGTGTGCTAAATGTTCGGGAAATATGAAAAAGTAACATTATAACGAGGAGCAACGGCGACTCAGAACCCACAAAGTAACACAAACGTTTTATTCAGAGAAGAGGCACTTTGAAAGATGTGATTGGTCAAGCAATGCGACATTTGGGCTAAATGGCCTTTCTCAGAAGATGACTTCATAGAAGGTAAAGGAATGCGTGGTGAAAATGGGTCTCGTGGTCTTCACGCGTCGCCTTTTACGTCGCAGTATTCCTAGCGTATTAACGCAAGATCAACGCGATCGTATGACCATTTGTGGCGACCTGACAAGTAGATCTGATAACAATGGGATATTTCTCCATCGGGCGTAAAAGGAGATCTAAAAATGCTCTTACGTCATGTGTTGTTTCGAAATAGACCCCAATAGTAATCACGCAACAGGATATCTCGAAAAGGCATGTTGGTGCCTGAAGTATTGTGTGCCGGGAATTGTTTATATGGAATTTCTCCCACAATGAGCAACTGTAAACAAAAGCCCTTATCAGAACATTAATACTGCGACTAATTTCATCGTATGCGATCTAAGCACGGTAAACTTGGTTGTTGCTATGCTATCACGCCACTGAATATGGGTCTACTCTTCTTCAAGAAGAAGAATATTGAGAGAGTAACAGATTACCGCTGTGCCAATCCCCCGCCATATCCATCTAATCCCACTCTATGCACATTCTTTCTCGTTCCCACCTTAACTGCAAGTTTCTGTGGGTTTGTTCTTCAGTCTTGGTATTAGATCGTCACCAAAAGACGCCGGTCGGAATATTTCCGTCAAAGTCATCAGCTATATTGGCAGACGTGCCTTGAAGCCAACAAGCTATTCTGGATGAGAATGTGTGGTTGTATGGAGTAAACTAATTCGATGAGACAGAACGTGTCATTGATGTACTACAACTCTGTTACATTTCTGCACGACATCAGAGGGTTTGAAAAGTAAAACGTGCATTCTAATCAAACAATGTGAAAATGACCTATTCTTCCACATTATTCGGTATATATTCACATAAAAATATCAACAGAAAATTGAATTGTTAGAACGTAAAAGATTATAAAAAAATGAGTTTATCGTTCGTCAAGAGGTTCCTCGTTAAATAGCAACAACGGCAGTTAACCCAACACAAAGAAATCAGAAATATTGGAAGAAATATGAAAGCAGTGTTAGCTCCATATCATCCGAGATAAGGTAACAATTGACCAAGACTTCTGTTTTAGGCATTTTTGCTTCGTACGCATCTTCTGTTTTAGACATTTTTTCTTCGTGTCAATGCAGCCATCGACTCTAGTTCTTTTTTAATGGAGCGAAGAACTAAGTAACAGATCATTCTTTTGAGCAGTGAATACACTTTGTGATTTTAATGCTCTCCAAAATTTATTTTACACAGAAGCATTTTAGCAAGCATTCGATATGCGTCAATTATAAAGTGACAAATTGCCCTGGGGCTTTCCCAAGCTCGCTGTATTTTAGAATTAAGAATCAGCTAACTATCAGAGCAAGCAGCAGTTTAGACTGTTCTGATTTATGCTATTCATCTATCTGCTAATAACTAACATTCATTCCTCAACTTTGCAGTTTATATATCGAATAGCTTCATTTCCTTGATATACATTTCTTTTGATTGTAAAGAATTTATATCCTTGTTTATGTCTAGCTTCCTAACGGTTGATGTGCTGCAACTAGAAGGCAGAAGATATGAATCATCTTCCTGGTGAATTTATGAATATTTTTCCTGCGGTTAAATAAAAAATAAATATATTACTATAAACCTACAGTTCCAATTAAAGAATCCTCTCCACCAACATTCTGATACTATAATTTCAATTATAAGATGATTGTTTTTACTTCCGTCGCAAACAAGTAAGGTACGAGCCAATTCTTTTCAAAATTTATCTATACCAAATACTTCACATTGAAGAAAATTCCAACACAAAATACATAAATAATGGGAATATAATTGTTTCGATAGTCCAAAAACTTTATCATGTAATCACTTAATATTTACTTCATAATAAACTTTCACATGAAGCGAGTGAATAGTTCAAGAAGTAAATCATGCGTACAGAACAAGTAGTGTTTTCGGAAGAGAAGCAATTTCAGTAAAAGGTGTGGATAATTCTTAATATTTAGAATCGATAGTTTCGCAAAACAAGATCTGAACTCATTGTAGAGGAGGATCGAAAAAACAGATATGTTTGTACAATTATAATGTATTGTTGTATTAATGGCAACTGATAAGGAAGTACGCTCGTATTACAATGATTATTCACACACATAGAGTACCGCAGTTGGAACATGGAATTAATCCGGGATCATAGTTGATACAGTAGAAGAAGAGAAACAAGTGGTACTTCAGTTTCATTTGGAGGAGCAGCGAACCAAAAGCATCATTAACGCAACGGAGAGTGAAGATGGATTTGTCACCACTGCTCGTCACCTCGTGCAGAACGTCACGGTAACCAATTTCTTCAATGCGTTCTATCTGGTATTCAAATTATTACTTACATTTTAATATTTGTTTTGGTTGTTACTCTGAGACACCTAGTATTACTTAATTCCTTATGCATTTATTTTCAAAGATAGTGTCAATAAGAAACATTCACTCTTCTTCATAACTCAAAACATGTGAATTAAAAATAGTAATTTATACACTTTGTTCAATGTTATGGATTCTAAAATAGCTATTCTATTCCTCTTTTGCAGATACATGTTTACGAGATTCGAAGAAGAGTGAATGCCTGAGGTATAGGCGTAGATAATCTGGACAACTAGGGAAAAGGCACTAAATGGAAACTAACAATGGTAAAGTATGTATAGTTATAGCCAGGGTGTCTCGCTGTATATTGTTTTCCACAATGTGAAAAGAACGCAAGTTGACGTAAGTAAAAAAAAATAATTTTCAATTGTCTCCCCCTTGCCACCTTTTAGGTGAGGCAATTCTTAACACAATTTGTAGTAAAACACTACAAAAGTAAGGTACCTATATCTTTTACTTTCCACTTGTATTTATCTAAACACACATTAATCCCGAATTGTAAAAATGTGTGCGAATTTATAAAAACATACTTTCATAAAATGTAACTTTTATCTTTAAGCTTTCCTAATATTTTGTTGTTAATGAAAAATTATTATGCCGCGGAATAAATAAAGATATTTAAAAAGATATGGTTCTCAAATCATATTTTCTATTCCCTAAAATGCAAACATATTTATATCCCATGGTGCCAAAATTATGTACTAGGGAGCTTAGAAGTTTTCACGTACTAATAAATATGATTCTATCCCGAACACGTGAGTATGCTCTAGAAACATTCTTCGAGGAAAATTATAAAAACTATTGTAATAAAATGATCTGCCTACTTGTCTTTGGCACATAAACGCGATCATTTCATACTATTTCACCGTTATTTTTGTCACAGTATTTGCACAACGTTAGACAGAATCCAAAATTTATAAGACAGGCTAATAATATTTTTTTCACATCCTACCACTTTCTCATGATAAGTGAATGGTAAATTTAAAATTCAATGTATCATTGATCACCACGTACTAAAAATGTATCTCCTACCATAATTAAAAACATTTGTTAAATTAGCGACTTCACTACAATATGAATAAGCAAACGCCATTCTTTTAGTGTAAATCAATATAGAAGTATCCAACAATACGACATAACTGATAAACATTTGTACAGTGAATTTAATGTCCAAAATGAGAGGTAAGGGTATTTTCTAGGATTCCCAATTACAACACCACCCAGAAAAATTGTTTGAGAACTTCATTAAAGAATAATAACTTCTCTTGAAATCTCAAACTCAGTTGATGTGTACTACATGGCGGCAAAAAATAGTGTCATTTATAACAGAAACCAACTGAACTATCGCAGTACATTCACCACGAAACGTAGAATTTGCCAAAATTAGTGAAGAAGGCCTGTTTAGTAAAAACATTGATGAAATGACAGGAAGTTATCGCAGAAAGAAAAGATTCGTCTACACTGCAACTGCTTACAATTATTTTTTTGCTTATTCACTGCATTCAGTTGCTAACAAAATCCCCAATCTGTTAACTACTGGGTCTTTTGTGTCTTGTTTTGAGTCGGTAAGAACAAAACGGAAAAACAAACATGATACGATAAATATAGCGATGAATATATTACAGGTGTTTCAAAATCGGAAACGATTAAAATGTTTGTTTCTTGTCAAATCACACAAAAGAAACCGTCTTTGATTCGAAATTGTGAAAGAGAAATAAGTACATTAAATACCTAAGAACACTCGACATGTTTATCTAAAAAAGTGTCAAATGGTTTTATCATTTTTTCTCTGTTTCTGGTGGTATCAACGATTTGTCGAAGCCTGTACCAGTACTCTAAGAGAGTGGCCGAGCATCGCTGTTTGTCATCGACATTGACTGCAGTTACATAATTAGATAATATGACTTGAAAAGTTCCTACGAAGTAATGTTCTTCGCTTCACTATGCTAGTGATAGATATTTTGATCAAGAATATACATTGCGGAAAAAATTACGTTAAAATGCACAAACATAAAATCAATATAATTCCTTGCAATGATCCCTTTGTATAGTTGGAAAAGAATATTGAAAGAAGCTCGGAAGGGGACGTTAACTATCTAGTCGACCAATCGATTATTACTCTCAAAGCAAAATGTACCGGAAGTGTAGTGCGCATTACATCCCTAGAGATGGCTGTATTCTTCCCCCGCTGAGACGTGAGATTCGACCTCGCCCCCTCAACAGGGCACCGTCCTAAGAGAAATTCTAAGCTCCCGTCTCGTCCTTTTCATTTTGTGAAAGTGCGTACCTGCTCGTGTTTAGTGACATTGTGTCTCTTTCTTTCAGGGCAAGAGTTCTGCCATACGCTGCATATCATGGACTCGCGCGGAGAGAGCGTAGTCGTGAACAAGAAATGCTCCGACCGCGTGGAATGCTCCGCCCAAAATGTGGGTTGCCTGGACATCGACTCTCAGAAGGTGAGGAGCACCGGCTCTACGTTCCTCAACAAGAGGGAAAATTAAATTGCGTGAACTTTACTTAAAAAGATACCTACAATACATTTTATTATATACATCAGCTTTCGAAGGGCTAAGAGAGAGAAATAGAGGGGAATGAGAGACATAGAGGGGAGAGAGAGGGGGAGGGGGAGAGAAAGGGAGAGAGATGGACAGAGTGGAAGTGGGAGAGATGGGGAAGAGGGAGGAAGATTGGGAGAAGGGGACAAAGAAGAAGGAAGAGGGGGAGAGGGGGCAGAGATACCGAGGCTGGAAGGAATAGGGGGGAGAGGGAGAGAGGGGGATGGAGGGACGGAGATAAAGGGGAGAGAGGGGGAAGGTCCCCGTCACTTAAATGAGTGAGTTTTCCAACTCAAGAAACCTGTGAGCCCTACCTAAACAAAATGTTTCATGAAATCAAAAATAAATGTTCACCTTCTCTGACGTAACCAATTTTTCTTTAAAAAAGCCTTGTAGTCTTTGGTTGGTAACGTTTTTCCCGTTTTACATTGTTGCGATGTCAACAGACGTGTTAGTAACACTCTTTCATTACTTGGTTCATTAATTGCGATGTTTTAATTTGATATATTATTTACAATTAATATCACGAAGAAAAATAGAACCTCACTTTCTTTATATCTTCAATAGTTTACTTATTACGCGAGTCGCCGACAATTCGTAAACTGTACGAAATCTACATCACACTATGTATTACACACTTCCTAATTCGAAATTTAGATTTATTTACTAATCTACCTAGCATTAATGGCACGTACAATAACGACGTAAGAGGATATTGTGACGGAGTCCCCGTCACGGAGTCCCCGTCACGGAGTCCCCGTCACGGAGTCCCCGTCACGGAGTCCCCGTCACGGAGTTCCCGTCACGGAGTCCCCGTCACGGAGTTCCCGTCACGGAGTCCCCATCTCTCGAAACGGGAACTTTCAACCCAAGAAACTTGACCTATCTGGTGGTCTCTACCCTGACCACGCGCCATTTGCAAAGGCGTCGTCATTTCTGCGGCTCCGGATCCCAGGTGGCCTTGCGTCACCACTGTCCAGGATTGATCTGATTGATTAATGAGATAATTTCCCTTCTTAGAAAATGCTCATATATTTCATTGCTTATATTTCCACGCTTTATTTCCAGTCATGAATTACATTCCCGCAGAATGTGGCAAAGTTTAAGTTTCCTATCAACGACAGTAAACGCAGGACCTCACATAGTTGGAGATCAGTGAGATAATACAAATGATTACAAGATGAGACTGATAAGGCCAGGAAATATATAATTATTCAATGTCGAAAAGTAATATTACCCTCAGGTTTCCTTTATTTATTGCCCACAATTCCCTTGCGATCGCCCCTAGATGTGCTATTCTCAGAATCAGCATTATGTATGGCACTTGTTTGTGGACTTTATTTCATGTAATGGCCATACACTAGGCACTGTGATCCTGTCTAATACACGGAACGAGGAGTGTTACCGGAGAAGGAGAGTTTCACTGCGAAACCGCAAAAGAGAATAAGATATTGATGGAACAACTTTCTGGCAAAGTCTTGGAAATTATCTGACGCACTTCGCTGGCAAAGTGTTTCCAGTGGACCGCACGTCATTAAGATTGATGAAGACGGATGCTTCTGCGGCAATGGTCAGTACATTTTTGTCTCTCGACAGATCCCACGAATCTTTTAGCACGTTTCTGTGGTTATGCTGGTCCTTAATAATAATAATAATAATAATAATAATAATAATAATAATAATAATAATAATAATAATGTATTTATTAATGGCGAGGCTCAGGCCATAGGGCCTGCTCTTCCGCCTAACCACTTAATTTACGTACATTTAGAATAGTAACATTTTAAGAGGGGAGGACAAGCTGTACATTTACGTCTGGGAGAACAAATCTAGGGACCATCCCGGCATACGCCTTAAGCGATTGAGTAAACCCAGAAAAACCTCAATCAGGATGGCAGCTTAGGGCCGAACATTAACATCCTTCCATAACATCCTTCTTGTACGTAGGTCTTCCAGAAAGATGCAGTATTATTATCGAAACCATGTCTAGGTAACGGGGTCTCCCGGAGAGTAATATACGTAGATTTTTCTATAGTAGCCGATGAATTAGGTCATTGTTACACCTCCTGCCTTATAAAATGAGTTTTTTAAATTAACTCGCTAACGCCTTTCGCAACGGGCCACTGTTAAAAAGATTAATTTTATAAGGTAGGAAGTGTAACAATGGCCTAATGTCATCGGCCACTAGGGAAAAATCGACGTATAGTTCGCCAGTGAAGTGTCGAGCTCTATTTTCGCGGGCGAGTCTATTGCAGACATTGCAGGAGACTTGTTCCATATTTATCGAATTGAGACATTCTCGAATGAGAGCGTGGGTTTCCGCGGCCGGAGTCAGCAGCTATTGGCTGCCCGGGAAACGCCGCGTGCTCGGCACAGGTGCTAACGTTTCCGGCCGCCATTCTGCGACTTTCGCATTGAGCCATTTCCGAAGGACTCAGAACGGTGGCTTGTGTTGGCACCTGTGCCTCGGACGCGGCGCCTCCCGGTAGCCAAATAGCTACTTCTCGAATGCGCTTTAGTAAATAAACACTCTTGTCGCAAATTAATGGTAGCGATCGCGCTTTATTAATTCGATTCCGTTTTAGCAGTCGAACGATGAGCCGACATAGTTTCGTCTGCGGCGATTCGAGACTGACTGTTCAGGCGCCCTACCTTGCAATTGCAAGAGGAACGCATACGACTATTGCAAACATTGCAAAAAAAACTTGGCGAAAAAAATGCACGAGATTCTCTCAGACGCGTTCTCATTGCGAAACACTTCTCTCGCCAAGTATCGCCAGTAAACGCGCGTCTTAAGTGCCAGTTGTTACTTCGGAGATTCAAAACACACATGAGAACTTCGAAATTCTTTCACAGCGACATCGACCACTGGCCAATGACGTCTCTCTCCCCCCGGTGGCATCGTGATTTGGTCCGAGTGTTCTCGATCGCATAGCGGTGGTCGTCTGGGGTTGAATTGAAAACATTTTTGCCAGGGATGAAAACACAAAACCGAGGACGAGCACATCCTAAAACTAGTACATTTCTAAGTTCCCTTTTCAACTTTCTTATGTCACAGTTTACTATATACATAAAAAATGAACGGAGAATGAAATTATAACAGAAGTGATACAAATAATAAATATAATGATTTATGTTGAACCACTTACAGGTTGCCATATGGCTTGTCGCGTAATAATTCTGCAAATTATCAGGTTAAAAGCGGGGAAAATCAGGGATTGAAATTATTTACAGTAGTAAAATAATTTATTACGGACTACAGAGCCCCTTCAAAAGTTCAAGAAGAACCTTGCCTATCCCGCCCCGGCCCGGTCTGCGCACGCCTACGCACAAAGCGTCCTCAGGATAACCATAGTGCAATCAAATAGACATAAAAAACTACTCCGCAAGAATATTTCATTAATTGAACTTGACGGGTATAAAATGCTACCAACTACTGAGGAATTGAATTTCCGGGAAGCGTGGGCCGTAAACAAGTTGCTTCTGCGACCGCCGTCGCAGCGTTGAGTTTCCGCCCACGCGAGCGCCCCGCCGCCGGAAGTCCGCCGCCGAGCTCCGCGACGCGCGACTTCCGGATGCAGGGCGCTCACGGGTCACCACACGCGCGCGCGCGGGCGGCTCCGCGTTCACGGCATCTCACCTTCCGCTTCGTTTCAGGTGTGCGTGTCGTGCTGCGACGAGAACTACTGCAACGAGGCAGTGCCCACCAACCACAGCAACCACAGCACGCGGTTCTGGCCCAACACGCGGACTCGCGCCCTTTTGACGCGCGCAAGCCGGCCGGCGGGCCGCGGCGACGCGGCGCGGCGCGGGCGAGGCAGGGCGGGCGGCAGGCGGAGGCGGGCGGCGTGGGCTGGCCCCTGCGGCTGCTGGCGCCTCTCTGCCCTGGCCCTGGCCGCGAGGCCGCGGGGGCGGGGCTGGCCGCGCCGGAGGCGGGCGAGGGCCCGCGGCCGGCCGCGAGCCGGGCCGCCTCGCCGGCGGCAGCGCCGGGGCGGCGCGCTCGTCGGCGGCGGCGAAGGCGCGGGACGCGCGTCTGTAGCCCCCCAGGAGGCCCTCGTTCGCGCTTTAGACCCAGCCCCCCCCCACCCCACCCCCACCACGCACGGCCGAGCCCCCACCGGACGCCGGGCGCACAGTTCATCTGCCCCGCCCGCAACTCCGCCGCCCGCCCGCCCGTCGCCATGCGCGCCGCCGTGGTCGCCACCTTGTCTCCGCTCGGGTCCTCCGCTTCCTCTCCTCGTCACCGCCCGGAGATTGCCTGCCACCGGCGCCCTTTCGCCTTGGGCGACGGGGCCGTCGTTGTAGGTGCGGACGCTGTCGAATCACGCCGCCATTCGCCACGCACAGCCGCGGGACCGCCGCCGGCTTCCCCACGATGCTTCCGGCGCGGCGAAAGCCTTCGAACGCTCCGCCAATGACTGTGCCAGCGGATGACGCCTCGCTGCTCATGATTGCTGGCTTCCCAGAATGGCAGCACCGTGCACATTGCATGAGCCCGCTCGGGAACGATAAAACGTCATGCTTGTTTTTCTTTTCCCTATCCACCGCCTGACTGGCCGTTCTAGGCGTCACCTTACAACTGAGTCACAGAATGTCTCTAGAATATGGGATTCCATTGCCCATTCTGATTTTTCAGAATTCTAAACAACTGGAATGTAACTTATAAGTATTTCTCAATCTTCATTTCCAATTCGTCCTCCTGCGAGAAACCAACAAAACTGGAGTTCCTAGGATGATATGCTGTGTCAACATTTTATTGACTAATATTTATGGTTGTAGCCAAAACCCGTATCTCGCAGCTGCCCAAAAACTATTTCTTACGTCATCTAATATTCAAGATATAATAGTAAATATTTCCCATGAGTAGAATAATAAGATCATCAAATATGTTACTGAATTTATTTTAATATTAAACAGTATCTTTATCATCATCGTTTTATATTTCTTTTATTCTATTTACTGTTGTGAAATCACCGTGAGATGAAATTACACTTAACATTCGTTGACATTACCTACGAAGACTAAAAACAATAATGCAAGTAGTGGCTAACATCTTGCACAGAAATCGTTGAAGGAAACTATTGACTAAGTTTATAACTACGACTTCCAGTGTTTCTGAAAGACGTTCTGCGCCTTTAATCTCGAACCAGCAAATTTCCTTTGTTCATTATCCTGGCACACGTTTCATCTACACTGTGGCGAAATTAAAATGTATTCCCTGAATGCGTATATCAACAATATTCAGAACAAATGCGTCTGTAGCAATTTAATGCTGCATTGACAATTTTAACCTGTTTGCTGAGAAGCTATGCTGAGAAGCCGATTCAAGTGACGGAGATACGGATGAACTAAAAACTGCTTGTGTAGAAACAGTGTTACATTTATTTTCTATATTATGTAACCCTAAGCTATCCGTAAACTAACCCATTGTTAAAGTGATATGGCGTTTGCAGCTATATTGTCTTATGTAAATTACACGACATTAATCGTTGACGCCCTGAGTACTGAAATTCCATAGTGTTATGTTTGATGTATTGTGAGAATTAGTTTAATTACTTGTTTGTTGGACGATTTAGAGACATTATTTTGCCAATGTTTTGTCCTGTTCTTGTGACCTCTGTCTACCAATTTTCGGGCGCAAGAATAGTGTGAGTGAGAAGCTGAAAAACTTTGTTTAGATATTTTTCGTTCTTTTGTATACCACAACATCTGGACACCACCTCGCCATACAAGGGAATTCTTTTAAGAAGCAAGTCAGGAAATTTTCCATTGCGTTTCACTGGATCAGTTTGTTGTCATTTCAAGAAATAAAGAACCAAAACTTTCTCTGTATTCTCACCTTTTTCATTATCATATTTACATCCTCTTTCCTAAAACCAGAAACAAGGGATATGTTAGGATTGGAAACTAAAGCGAGATGAACACTGCCAAAAATAATTAGAACTTTTCCGTTTGAAATAACAGAGACAGTGATGGAAGCATAGTAGACCGAGAGTAATACATAGAAAAAAGCCCCTTATCGGCCAACGACATTCTAAACATATAGCTTTAAAATGTGCTCCAGGAGCATTTTTTTCTATGTACTACTACTAGTAGAGAGTTTCGCTTTAGAGAGAAGCACTATGATAATTTTCTATGCTTTGCAGCGGCTGAAATCTCATATTAAACACTCCTCCTGAATATTTTCATTGCTAGATTTCGTTGAACCAGTTCAATATTTATGATTATTATTCAAAATTTATTGTTTTCAAACGTTAGAGAACAACTGTCGCACGTTTCGCGATATTTTGAAAACATGAATCCACAGTACAACCAGACATGTTAACAGTGTTCATAATATTGTATTCCAGTGGCCTGTAGCATGAAAGACGCACAAGAACTGACGCTTCATTTTTAATAATCATTATTAAAGATTTTTATATTTAATTAAATAATTTTTAATGAAAGGAATTATTGTATAGACAAGGACAATAAACAGCCGAAGTGACAGCGGGAACGGTTCTGTAACTTTGAAACCTCGCATTGTGTTACATTTATTTCCTTATGATAGTAACCCTTAACTTATCCGTAAACTAACCCGTTGTGTAAAGTGATATTGCGTTTGCAGATATTGTGTGAGTGAGTGCGAGCGCAAGAATAAAATGTTTGCCAACATGTGTTGGAATGTGAATACTGTTGTTTAATTATTAGATTAAAAATTAATTTATTTTCTAGTACATGTAATCACTAGATAAATACTCGTTAATTGACAATACGCTTTTGTATCAATTAAAACGTAAACGAAATTCCAAAATATTGGAATGGCAGGGGATTCGCAGACGTGTAGGCATCCAATAACGGCAGGATAATTTGCGGTTTAACCTTTAGATGAAAAATAGTATTTTCCCTGAGGCAGAATAGTTGAGCCCCGTAGCGAAACTCCGACCAGAGGATCGCCCGCGGTCGAGTCTGCGCCTCGGGGCATGTTTCTTGTGTATCTCCAATCGTTGTCATCCACATTTACCGTCTAACACGCCATAGTGGGTCGCCAATGCGCCTAGAAGTTGATGCGACCTTAATTAAAAAAAACATTAATTAACCCTTATATCTTTACCTCCCATGAGATGCAATAAATGAAGTTATCCCCAGTAAGAGGAATTCATGCAGTCAAACTGTTGCAGCTAGAATCGTAGGACAATCTTAAAAAAAACTTAGGCTCTGTAAAGTTACAAGAATGGGCTTTTACGCCAAGATGCTTAGGTCGCCCAATTTTCGATATGCCGAGAATTCAATACAAGAATTACAGTGTCATTTTTAAATCATCCTTGTTTTCGTCTATTGAGTTAGAAGTTAAAGAAAAAATGGTGAGCCAGTTTAGAGGAGAAAAGGAATAGGCAAACTTCATTTCAAGGCAAAAAGTTTGCGAAATATTAGTTTTTTCTCTTAAAAATATGTACATGACCTCAGTTTAAAGATATCTAATGGCTTTGAACAGATTTTATTTAAGACGGAAACCATATATCTTTGAACTTTTGCCAATTTACATATCTTACAATGGTGGTAAAAATTGTAACGAGTTAACCGAAAACGAGACCATTAGAGACCCAATTGAACTTCGCAATTTTTCGAAAATTGAGAGAGTTCAACGTACTGAGATCTGCTGCATTTCTTAATGTCCTTAGCACTATTTGGAAGAAAATCGCATATAAAAATTGGAGCAATTTTTTGAGGAAGGCTATTTTAAAAAATCAGGATTTTCAACGAACATGGACCTGCATTATCTCTTAAAACGTCTCCTCAGTATCTCCAGGGAAAATAATTAAAAATGAAAGAGCAATTTGGAAAAAAAATAATTTTCAAAAATTCAAAAGGTACTTGAAAACCCCCCGTCCCAGGAGTTTCATTTAAGAGACCCTAAAAATTAAAATCAGGTTTCAAATTTCAGTGCGGCGTGACCATTAGCCCAGATCGAACGGTGTGAACGGTTTTGACAATCGGTCTTAATATCGGTTTTAGCCAAGCTACCGTTGACAAACGTATAGACAAAACGTTTCAGCCGTTAAATTCGCACTTTCGGTATGAAGAACATACGAAACTTGGTTTCTGGCCTACACCCGCGGTGTTACAGAACTTTACTTTCTAAATGTGGACTGGATCTTATCCACTTTTTTGTTAGCTAGGGACCGTGTAATACGAGGGTTTTTGTGGCTGAAAATCGCCGTTTTTTCGCGCTGCATAGCATTACTCTTAAACAGATATTCGGGATAATCATATAAACGACATAAAACTCGCATCGCAGCATTGCGTTGAGTTCCGCGCTGCGTTCATATCCACATATCCTTCATATGACACATTTAAACCAAAACATTGATGAAAAACTTAAAACTTATTCGCAATATTACGGATCTTAATATCACGTAGAAGATCCGAATAGTCGGGCGCCAGCCACGCTGGTCCATATATCCATTTATCTCATAATAATATACCGATAGAATGACATCACGGAAATATAACGGAAGAGGCGCGGATTTTGCTGGATATTTATAAGTACGTGCTGCTTACTTCAATATTATAAATACTGCTGTTTATTATAGTAAACCCCTTATTCACCATTATATTACCCGAAAACTAAGTGAAGATTTCTTCCAAAATGTACTTGACGTTAAGGAAAGAATACTCTAGTTGCTCGATGTAAGTGCAAAAAAACGTATATGGTCAATCTTTTCAACAAGATTCAACAATAGTAAATATGCGCGTGGTCATATCACTTGTGATAGTAGTCACCTACTCTACATGCACCGGTCACCCCTCTACAGGACTAACACGTCATATATATATATATATAATATATAGCAACTGCCGCCTTCACCGAACGATAATCTCACTACGACGTGCGCTAATTTCTATATTCATACATTTTCCATTACTGTTCTGCTCTCTGGCTGTATGCTACCACCTACGGTATACAACACCTGATCACTCTCTGCTATTGCACTGTACTCAAATGAGGTGCGAGGCAAACGCAACTTCCACACTCTCAAACTTCAAACACACAAAAAAAATGGGTACGATGATCTTAATCAAATAAATAATGAGGGTCTCAGATGCAGATACGAATTTGGCGGGGGATTTGTATAGTATAATAATAATATTGCTAACTATAAGTATATGCACAACTAATATTAAATTATAAACAGATCATAAATTCTTTTAACAACATTTTAAAACATGAAGTTAATAATTTATGTGAAATATTTATTAGCTTTATCGAATTACATTAGTATAATTTCTTAATTAAAATCTTTTGGAATTCAGGCTGCAA